GAGGGCCGGGCTCCCCCCTCAGCTGCCCTCAGCTCGCCGGGCAGGGCTGCAGGTGCCCAGCCCCCAGGGAGCACTGGTTCCTGCTGGCTTTCTCCAGCTCCCAGGTCCCAGTGAAGCATTTCTCATTTGGCTCAGCCCGCTGTTGTCTCATTTTAATTTCAGCTGTTTCCAGAACTAGTCCAAGGAGTCAGGGTGGAGCTGCACACACAGCTGTTGCTCCTCACTTTGGGGGCCTTTGAGAAGGACCCTGGATTTGAGTGGAGTGCAGGTCTCTGACCTGTGCTCATTGGCACCTGATCTCGGTGATGTCTCTGGGGTGTCTTAGGTATTATAGATTGTGCACATTAAGGTAAACTTGACTTTTTTTCTGAAGAGGAAGCTTTGAGGTGAAATTTCTCAAGATAAGTAGCCTTTCAGGCATTGTGTGAACATGGCTGATTTTAGTCTTTCACTAAAATCTGCCGCTTTCTCCCAAAATACAAAAATCAAACAATTCTGAACTGTTCCTATTTTTGGAATTTCCCTCCAGGGGATAATAACTAAAAACTTTTCAATACTGGGGAAAAAAAATACTTAAATGATTTGATTTTCTTGGTTTTGCTGTTTTCAGAGATGCAAGAATTATTATAGAAACAAGCATTTGCTGCTGCTTTCTTTTGTAAAAGAAAACATGGCAGGTTACATGGCAGCTGAACCTGGCCTTTGTAAGTGACGCTAGCTTTCAGGTAGTTTTCCCTTCACCTTTTCTTGGTAGCGGCCGACAGCAGCTTGCCTTCCTCCCACACGGCGGGCGGTAGGGCTGGCTGCTGAAGGAGGGTGAGACTGCCTTTTCGGACACTGTCACTGACGCGCCTGAGGGCTGGTGGGACATCAGGCTGAGGATCCTAACCCGAGCCCCCTCTCTCTCCGCAGAGTTGGGGTTCTGGAGGACTCCTTCACCTTCCTGGGCATCTTACTGGCCATCGTCTTGTTCCCCTTTGGGTTCATCTGCTGTTTCGCCTTGAGGAAGCGAAGATGTCCCAACTGTGGAGCCAACTTTACCTAAAGGGAACAGCACACCTGGCGCTCCTGCACCCCGCTGTCTTTTTCTAATGTAAATGTCGTGTACAATAGCTTTACTCGATTAAGCTTCAGGACCGTTTTGTAGGGAGGTGGGATAGACTTGGCATGTGCACGCCGGGTTCATGGACGGGTCATGAGTGGACATGCGGCAGCACTGCTCCCAGGGTTAATGACAACTCAGAAAAGCACTGCTTTTATTTTTTGCAGTCTTCGGTTTGAGGAAGGTGAGGAATTGTTTTAAATAAATGAGATTCATACCACTGTCCCCCTGGTTCTGCTTATTCAGTGTGCACATTGCCGCCTGCAGAAGTCAGCCTTGCTTCGGAGGATTTCAACACCAGAGAGACTAGCCTGATGTACCCCCCACCTGGTTTCAGTTCTTTTATTTTTCTTGATAGGCATTTACAGCTCAAGAAAACGTTCTTGTTTTCAAGTTCTTGTTTATTATTATAATGAAACATAATACCTTGACATTTACAGAGCATGCACCTCAGTGCCAAGGACAAGGCAAGCCCTCCCATCCTGTGTAAGGCAGGTAAGTGACCACTGTAGTCCAGTCTGAAGGTGGAGATGGATTGGGTGAGTCCAGTGGGCCCTTGAATTGCATCTACTAATCCAGGGCCCGCTGCAGTGAAGCCAGAGGATCGCAGCGTGCAGGGAGCTCTGGAGGCGGGGCCAGGCAGCACCCCTACCCCTACCCCTACCCCTACCCCTTCTCCCTGTAAAACCTGCACCTCCCTCCCCTCCCCACTGCTGAAAAGAATGGGCTTCTGTGAACCCTGCTCTTACCTAAGCGGTGAGAGGAGCAGTGGGCCACTTAATCTGATCGGAGCATCTTTGCTCAGGATGGGTGCTGCTTGACCCCTGCACTCTGCCCGACTCAATCCTGGGGGAGCCCTCACACAGTCCTGGTCATCAGCCCCCCAGCTGACCCAGGCGGGAAGAGGCTAGGACCATGAACCTGAAGTTCACACACACACTGGTTTTACCTGCAGTTGACCTTGGCCGGTTCAAGCTTATAGAACAAGGACAGTATTTATGGTAAGAGCAAAGGAGCATATGAGCAACAAGCCGCCTTCCCTGCCCCCACAGGAATGGCCTGAGGGTGACAGTCATTTGCCCCACCTCCGGAATAGGGCCTAATCCCTGACAGCCAGCGATGCACTCGCTCAGAGAACCCTCCCAGTGCAGCCCAGCGTTCCGGCGCCTGAGGGTGGGTCTCAGCTACAGGGCAGCCCCTCCCAGGGGTCCTGGCTCTGAGCCCTGCTTGCCTCAGTACCTGATGGGAAAGTGTCAAAGTTAGCGACAGACAGCTTTGGTCAACTAGCTTAGCAAGAGCACCCTGGCTGCCACATGTGGACTCCTTGGGCACACAGGTTTCCCTCTGGCCTGGCAGGTGTGTGTTCATTGGTCGTTCTAGTTGGTGCCTCAGAACTGCCCAACCCAGTAGCTCTGGGGAATTATTCAAGTACTCGGCACCATGGCTGTGACAGGGACGGCGGAACACCCCAGCACTCTACAGCTGGGCCTAATCGCAGGGAGGGCTGGGGTTTCTCCATCTTGGGTAGCTCCACATTTGACTAAACAAAAATTTAATAATTTTAAGTTAATTATATTTTATATATTTTCATAATTTATATTGCTTAAACATCACAATGCTACTTCAGAGCAGGTGCTTTATGAAATAAAACCATGGTCCCACCTGCATGTAGGCACCGAAAGCCAGTCCCAAAAGCACAGACTGTTTAAAAAATAATCTGAGTATTTAAAAAAATGATACAGTAAGGATTGGAACCAAATTTACTGCTTTTCGAACAGAATAGGAAAAAAAAAGACTTTAAATGATTGAGTTGGTCACTCAACTAATTTATCTTTTTAAAGACAGAAATGTGCAAACCCAACTATGTGAAATTGAGGAAATGCATTGATTTGCTCAAGTAGAACGTTTGAAATCAGCGCCCTCCCTCTGGTGAAGCGTCACACAGTTACAGCGCGCACCACACCTATCACTGTGCAAGTGAGAACATCAGGTCCAGAGGCGGCCTTGGCCATCTTTTCATCGGATGATTGGTGCTGATCGGTCGTTTGTCACCGTCGGGCGGAGTTTCACAGTAGCAAAGGGGTTTTCTCCACCACTATGGGGGGGGAAGAAAAAAAAAGTCTGCAGAAATATTCCAAGATGGGAACTTGATTTTAAAGAAACTAAAAACAATTGTTCTCAGTCTGTAAAACTATACACGTTATATAAGTTCCGGGCAGCATTTCTGAACGTGGGGAGTTTCACTGGGGCAGTTCTCCCCATGCCACCCCTTACAGAACCACCCAAAGTTGTAAGCATTTCGGACACGGGAGCCTGCTCTCTGCAGTCCTCTATGGGGGGGTATTGCCAAGCACAGCCTATGACTAGGAGACGGCCCTTCTGGATCCGGGCAGATGCCTCCTGGACTGTGGTAAGAACACAGTGGCCACATTCCCCTGGCCCCACAGACCTAGGCCATTTTCAGAATCGGGCCTCCTGGGCTGTGCACCAAGGAAGACCCTCCAGCAGGACAGTCCCCCACGGAGCTCGGGAGGGTTTGTGGAGGGAGTTCACGTACCCGAGGAAAGGATGCTTTGCAGTCCCGTTTGTATTCTGCGGAAAGATAAAGATGAAGTTTATGGAAGGCTCATGAAATCGGGACATTTTAAATAACACCTGAGGTAAAGACACCTAAAACACAAGGCACTGTTTAAAGCTACAAGTGTTACAAAGTGCCCCGGAGTCCTGGTTTGTCTGAGACTGTCTACTTATCTAAGTTCACCTGAGAACACAGGCAGGAACAGGACATTTTAAAATACGGCGAGGGGCCCTCACAGTGTTGCAACATCCCGGACCCAGAGAGTAGGGCCTGCGGCTCCTTGCCCAGGGCCTTTCAGGAGCAGAACTAAGGAGTGCAGGTGGCTTTTTGGAGGCCCAGTCCTGACTAGAGCCATGGGAAACAGTGAAAATGGGACCTTGGTGGGCTTTGGTGCCTAGACTGTGCCGACTGCTCCCCAGAGGTCTTACAGGAAGTTCCACGAAGGGGGGAGGAGAGAAGATGGACCTGTAAACACCGTCTTTGCGTTCAGGAACCACCACAGTCCTGCAGGCGCCCGCAGGCCTCACGCCCGGGGACTTGGGGCCTCCTGGGGTGGCCAGGGACCATGGATGTGCCTTCTTCCCTTCATTCCATAAAGCTTTCAGGCGAAGAATCTGCTCTACACCTGCCCTGCTCTAGGAGAGCACTGCTGGGAGCTCGGGGTTATTCCAGGGCCGCCCAGGAGAGGGCAGTGTGCTGCTGTCTGACCAAGGGGCCCCCTGACCTGACCTGAGCTCCCAGGACTCCCGCGGTCAGGCGCACAGACCTCCGAACGCGGACTAAGTGAGCTCCTCTCACTTCCTGCGGCCAGCGGGAGTTGACGGCCACACCAGGGGAAGTCTGGACGAGGGTTCCTTGAGAGGCCTCTACTGGGCTAGGGACACTGGGGCCACCTCAGACCTGTCCTGCTGTCTCTGGGCCTCTGAGGACCTCACATCTTGACCTTGAACTCCGGGGCCAGCAAGGTCATCCCTATGGCAAGCCCCAGCACCAGGAGAGAGTCCCGACTCAGTGTCTCTTTTCTCACGGAAGCCAAAGCTTCTGCCCTAACGGTTTTAAATGGATTCTTCCTGCAGGGCATGCAGGGTCCTCGCAGACCCGAGTAAGCACTCCTGGTGTAGCGTTTGAATTGTATGCTTTAGGGATAAAAATACACCAGGATGCCTGTCACGCAATCACAGTCCGGTGCTCAAACGTGCTGCCTCGAGCAGGAAGCCCAGAACAGGGCCCCCAGGGCTGGGGAGGCACAGAGTCCCCTGTGAGAAGGTCCCTGTGGCCTGGGGTCAGGAGGAAGGGCAGCTGAGTCCTCTCGGCCTGGGAAGTGCACTTCCTGCCAAACCGGAGTCCCCAGGCTCAGCCTTCATGTGACACATGAAACCACATCCTCTTGCCTCTTTCCAGGGTGGGATAGTGTCTCCCTCCCATGTGTGTCACGTGAGGAGGGCTCTGCCCCGAATGGCAACCAGCTGGGAGCACCCCAGCTCTCCAGGCAAAACCTCGGGGCTTGTTCCCAGAGGGCCGCCCGCCCCACGGAGCTTCAGAACCAGTTTAGCCACCTTGTGTCACCTGGGTGTTTGCCACAGCACTTGAGAGAAACAAAGGTGGAAGAGCACAGCCCATCCTGGAGAGAAACGTGACAAGCAGCAGCTCTGCTGAGGAGGAAGGCCCAATAACCTAAGACGACAGCCCGAAGCCACCGCACGCAGGGCTGGCGCCCCGGGCTTAGGCTGCGTTCTGGTTCTAGGTCTGGTGCTGGTGACGCCTGTTGCTTTGTGAAGTCACTGTGCACTCTTTATATGCTATTCCTCAATGTTCACCATAAAAACAGGACATTTCCAAAAAGGTTTCCCTTTAACACCCCCCACCAAAGCCATTGCCGTGGTTACAACTGACCACTGTCCCCCCAAACCACTGCTCCTCCCTCCCCCTACTGGGCAGTGAAGGGCGCCTCCAGGCCAGACGCCCCCCACACCTCAAACCTGACCACAGCCCCACCCTCCTCTCTGCTGGACTGAGGCTGGAGCCCTGTGAGGGGCGTCAGTCCTGACTATGGCCCCCAAAGCTCCAGTCTGAGCTTGTCCCTCCCCTGGTTTCCTCTGACCGAGCAGTGGGGTTTGGGGTCTCTGGTCTCTGCACCCCCCCCCCCATCATCTGGCAGATGCTGTCTTCTCCTGTAGGAACACCAGGCCTCTGTAGGCCTTTCCTGGGGCTCTGTGTCTCTGGACCTGACCAGTCTTGGTATGGCTCCTGCGGGCCCAGGGTCAGAAGGACACACACCGTCAGCTGATCGTGGCCAAGCAGGAAATGGCAGAACAGGACACATCGTGTGACTTCCCCTCAGAAAACCCCAAACCCAAGCCCACCTTGAGGAGGCTCTTGCTGACACAAGGCATCCATTCCACCCAGATTTCTGCTTGAGTGCCCTCCATAGGTCCACCTGCCTTGAAGGGGACCTGGTCCCAGCTTATGAGTCATCCTGGTCAGCTCAGACCACCCAGGAGGAAACAGTGTTTCCCAGGGAGGCGGACACTCAGAGAGGGCAAGGGACCTGTGTGGGCCCCAGTGAGGGTGAGGCAGGGCTAGTGCTGAGCGACAGCCCTGAGGGCATCTTGGGGCCTGCCCTCTCTGTACCGCTGCTCCCCCCAAACAAAGCCTCCATCTCTGAAGCCAGCGGGAGGTCAGCTGTCACCTGCAACATAAGCAGACCTGATGCTTGTTTTAAATGTTTCAGCAGATGCCGGTCCTCAGCTGTGGCCCGGCTTCCCTCCCAGTCCGCAAGCCTCCTATCTAGTTCAACACCTCTCTCTCTTTTTTAAAATATACTTTTATCGGTTTCAGAGAGAGGAAGGGAGTGGGAGAGAAACATACATCAATGACGAGAGATCACTATCGGCTGCCTCCTGCGCGGTCCCCACTGGGCATCAAGCCCGAAACCCAGCATGTGCCCTGACCGGGAATCGAACCGTGACCTCCTGGCTGATGCTCAACCACTGAGCCTCGCTGGCCGGGCTCATCCCCTCTGTTCTTAAATTAGGGACACAGAAGCCCGGCCAGGGAAAAGACAACTGCCCTGGATCATGGGCTCTTTCTGGAACCCAGGTGCCCACTTCGTGGTGCAGAGGGCGGACGCAAACAAGGCGGCTCGCGGGGCCGGCACACAGGTGGCAAAGGCGCGCTTTGGACGGAGGGTGGGCCTAGTTTAGCTGTTCAGCAGCCTTTTAAAGCCTACTTATCGCTACAGTAGAGAACACCCGCTGCAACCCCCTTGGCACGCCCCCGCCCCCGGATCGCAGGGAGCCCGGGGCGCCGCGCCGGGCGGGAACACTCCTGCCCCCGGGATCTGGTGTTTAAACAAAACCTCTCCTGTAACTGACAGGGACGATGGCTGCTTGGATAAACACTAGGTACAAGATTGGTTTGCCCGCCCCCGGGACCCCTGCCTGTGGCCGAGAGAGGATATACGTTCCCCAGCGTCACCAGGTGCTTTAAATATTCTAGTTTTAGGAAAGATAAACGATGGGTCCCATTGGGCGGAAGAAGTTCGGATAGAGAATCCCAGGACTGCGGCCGCCCTCGAGGCCCGGGCGGGGTGGCGACACGCACTTCTCCACCGCGCCGCTTAGCCGGCTTCTCAATGAACAGCCGTCTCTTCTGTGTGATCGAGACCTGCCTGCCCGCACGGCACCCACCAGCCGTGTGTGACCGGATTGAAGTTAAACACAAGGAAAATTTAAAATCCTCAGCTCCACCCGCTGTCCAGGTGCTCGGCTGCCCGCGCCCGGCGGGTCTGAACATTCCCGACTGACCCGTAAATCTCCGGGTTCAAGTACTGAGGAAGCACGTCCCGTCTTTCCCGCTCCCTGACACACACAAGACTGGATCCGGTGCCTCCTGCTGACCCTGCAAGAGGCCACTGCGGCCAGTTTCCCCTCTCCTGAGGTTATTTTTTGGAGCAGAACCGGTTCTGCCCTCCCCCAGCGACCTGCGCGTCTCCCTGGTGTTCCGGGAACTGCTGCTCCGACTTGTCCCCAGGAGCCGGTCTGATTGGCTGGAGGACATCAGCCGAGGCGGTGGGAGGGTGTGCTGGGGACAGAGCTGCGTTTCTCCCTTCTGCCGTTTGCACAGGATCTTTAAATGTCACTTCAAAGTCGCTAGTGATGGAACGCGAGCCAGTCCTTTAACTTCGCAGCGCCCCCGTGACCCGCCCTCTACTTGTTTCTGGGTCGCTCCCTCTCCACCCAAGATCAGAGCACTTGGTCTGACCGGTCAGGAAAAGCGACTACCCTGGAGCCACGGCCAGCAGAGCCTCAAACCCCACAGCCCTGGCTGAGTCTTGCGAGTCCATTCCCCTTTCGTGTGCCCTCTATTACACGGAGTTTCCAGTGTCCCCCGGTCAGAAATACAACGCAGCAACCAGGCAGCACCCCACACCAGCACGCGGAACACACGGCACCCGTCTCACCGACAGTGCCGATGGAGGGACACCGGTCAGCCGCCGGCTGGCCGCAGGACTGGGCTTCCCGACCCCCTCTGGGACCCGAGAGCTGCCGTCACCTCTCTGTGCCTTACAAGGCCCACAGACCTCCTGGGATGCCAGAAAGTGGGCGCACACCCAGGGGGCCCGTGAAGGCGGGGGCGTGGAGGCGGAGGTGGAGGTGCTGTCCCTGGGCCTGGCGGCAGCGCCAGGGGCTCCTTTGCCTCCGACAGCTTTCACGATGTGAGAGGTGCTAAGATCTCAGTCCGTGTGGGCGCTGGGGAAGGAGGGAGAAACTATAGATCTAACTCCATTTACCTACGTCCATCTCACAGGAAATAGAATGAACTGTTAACATATAGATAGCTAAAAGTTTCTTTCTAATACTTAGAAATTTTGGAAAATAGAGACTACCAAAACAGAAATGCTCCTGGTTATTTTTAGAAACAGAAAAAGTGTTACTTTAAAAAAATATTTTAGCCCGGCCGGGCGTGGCTCAGCGGTTAAGCGCCGACCTAGGATCCAGGCGATCAGGGTTCGACTCCCGGTCAGGGCACATGCCCAGGTTGCGGGCTGCAGCCGATCAATGACTCTCTCATCATTGATGTTTCTGTCTCTCTCTCTCCCTCTCCTTTCCTCTCTCTGAAATCAATAAATATTTTTTTAAAAAAAACATTATTTAAATAAGGTGTAATGATTAGATATTTTAATTTTTACAAGGGGACGCTGAACACACTTGGACTTTGCCCTTTAGCCACCAGGTGAAGAAAATATTCAAACCCAGGTTTGTTTACTCAGAGTAGCGGGATGGATAAATGTTAATTCAAGAGCGCATCTGATTTCTGTCTCAAGAGTGGGGTCACATAGCATCTGATTACCGGTAGTAGAACTGTACACAGAACTTTCACCATAAAACCATTTCCTTCTATGTTTAACACAGTAGGTCAAATCATAATCTATATAAATACCCCCACGAAAGACAACTTTTAATCTGTTTAGGAAACATGGGGAGAGATTTTCTCAAATTGCAGGTACTTTTAAAGACCACAGGTAGCTGTCCTTCCTGAATGCTTTCATGCCTTCAGGACACTGATTATGCTTAATTATTCAGAACCTTGGTCTAAAACAATTTCTCCCCTCTAGTAGTTAAATGTGTAACTTAATTTCAGATAAGAATGTTTTTCTCTTATATCGTTAGCATGTTAAAGATCTGGAGCTCAAAATTACATAAATTATCAACGACAACAAAGTCTTCAAAATACGTAAACCAGACCTGCTCCCAGAGTTCCGACAAAACTGGTTTCTCCCCCGTAGGCCACACCGGTTAGTCACAGCGTCAGTTCTCACCTGGTCACTACTACTTGTCCCCCTCCTGTCCGCACGGAACATCCTCTCCCCGATGACCGCATGGCCTCCAGCCCCCTCCTGGCTCCAGCACACCCCCCGGCCGCCTGCAGATGCCGCCCACCCGAGGATGGCGGAAGGACCGCACGCAGCCCACGCTCCGGGCTCAGGGCTCCACTCCTGGCCTGTCCACCCATCGCATCTCCGACCGCCGCCCCAGGCAGCATCCAGCCACCCACGTTCCCAGAGGGCACGCCCGGAGGCCTTGCGCTTGGCCAGAGCTCTTCCTTTGAACTCAGCTCAAAATCTGCCCCCAAGAAGCCGCCTCTGATGCTGCCCAGGAGCCGGAGCCCTGCCCCGCCTGCTATCTGTTCACTGCGCACCTAATTCACAACTAAACACCTGCTCACTGGGCTCAACTGCTCGGCTGGTCTCACTCCTGTTGGTCTCCCCAGGGCCCAGCCCAGGACTTAGGCCAGCTGCCAGTGGGTGGGCTCCAGGCTGAGGTCCCCTCGCGGCCCAGGGCCCTCCCCGAGGGGCGACTTCCCATGCCATCCTGATGGTGTTCAGAAGGGAGTCTGGATGGGCACAGAAGTCGGGTGCTGTGGAAATTTTTGTTGCAAGATTACAAATGTGACCTCACACTAGATATCGACTCTGTACCTGCTAAATGTGCCTTTTTACGGAAGGTTTCAGTGTTCATTAAGAGTTCAAGCCCTGGCCGGTTTGGCTCAGCGGTTAGAGCGTCGGCCCTCGGACTGAAGGGTCCTGGGTTCAAGGGCACATACCTGCTGTAGGTAGTCATGTGCCACCCAGATCCCCCCTTCAGGACCGAAGGCCTGACTCTGGGCTGCAGGGATGCTGCTGGCACATGGCCCCCTCTTCATGGCTTCCACAGTCCCCCCGCCCCGGGCCTGGCACTCGGAAGCCAAAGGAATGACAGCTCCCTGCTGACTCGGGCGGCCCAGGATTAAAGATAACTTAGCACAGAGTGCGTACCAAGTGCACACTCCTGAAGACGTACAGGTCAGGTCACCCTTTTAACCTTACACCTTCCTTCCGAAAACGACGTGAAAACTGAAGGGAACCTAGAGAAGCGGGAGAAGCTCCCGCCCCACACGCGGCCGCCCGGATGCTGCGCACAGCTCTACTCACAGGAGACGCGGGGTCCGGTCCGGACGCCGGGGGTTTAAAGGTGGAAGGAGGTTTGGAGACGTCGGCTCTCTTGTTGGCAGCCGCTTTCGTCGCCAGGCAGTCCAGGTAGTCGGGCGGCGGGATGGGAACGGCCGCGCAGCTCCTCTCCGACAGGTCCACCGTGCTCATGCTCCTGATGGGGGCCGGGCTAACGGCCCGGGTGAGAGAACACGGTCAGGGAAGACCCTGCCGCCGCGTCCCAGGCCCCCGAGGGTGCCAGGATCAGGGCTACGACAGGCTAATCGCAAAAACGGGCGCGGGAGGCGGGGGTCACCACACACACACAATATCATCATTACCCGGATCGGAGGGCGGATTTAGGGGTTATTGGGATGGAGGTACCAGGGGAAGCCCACTGATGTGATTCAAACCGTGGCAGTCGACGAGGTGGCCCGGGAAGTAGAGGTAAAAGGACTTGGGAGGGGTCCCAGGAGCACCCTGTGTTCAATCAGTGGGCAGAACGCTCGGCCGGCGTGGCTCAGTCGGGGCACAGGCCCGGGGGCGGGCTCGGTCCCCAGTAGGGGGCGCGCAGGAGGCAGCCGATCACTGACTCTCATCACTGATGTTTCTCTCCCTTCCTCTCTCTCAGATCAATAAAAGCATTAACCTTTAAAAGACGGCACTTAAATTCCGTCAGCATTTAAATTCGGCCAGCGGGACCCACTCCTTGCAGGGAACTAAAGTTCCCTTCCGTCCGATAAAGGTTAACCCCCCCCCCAAACAACAACAAAAAACAGAGGGCGGAGGAGTGGCCCGTGAGGACACCGAGAGGGATGCTGCTGAGGTGCAAGGAAAATAAACAGTGGGCCCGGTCAGGAGGGCGTGGCAGACGGCTCAGCACCATCGAGGGAAAGGTGGGCCTGGGACGCAGCCCCCGTGGGTGGTGGGGACGCTGGGAGTAGTCCCAGAGGGCTGGCGGCCTGGGCTGTGAATCGTCACCCAGACCATCAGTAAAGCCTGTGGACGCGGAAACTCGCTAGGACGTGAGTGTGGAGCAGCAATCGCCCACTCGGTCCCCGCGACCTGGGGTTTCCCACAGATCAGACAGACAGACATGGGACACGCCCGAACTGCACGGCACCGTGAGCGCGGTCATCCCTACCTTGGCGAGGGCACGCTCACTGTCTCCTTCCCGTTTTCTTCCAGCAGCTTCGTGTAGGAGGACGGGAACCAGCCCCTCCTGCAGGTGCGGAGGGAGAGAGACCCGGGTCACGGTGCCCGCGGTGGACGGGCGGACAGCGAACACACCGAGGACGTTTCAGCACGTTACGCGACGTGTGTGTGGCGTTCGGTGTTCGTTTCATTTGGGTTCCCTTTTTACCTCCCCCCCGTATTGGTTTTATTTAATAGACGGGTCAGCAACATAGAAAAGCAGTTTCACCTACTCGCAGCGAGGCTCGTGCGCTTCTCAGGGTGATACGGATGAAGCTGGTGTCTAAACTACTTCTGTGCTAAGTCCCAGAGCACATCTGACGTGCTCGAGAAACCCAAAGTCACGCTTTTTAAAAAATGAGAATACTGCCCGGCCGGGCGTGGCTCAGTGGCTGAGTATCCACCTGGGATCCAGGCGATCGGGGTTCGATTCCCGGTCAGGGCACATGCCCAGGTTGAGGGCTCGGTCAATGACTCTCTCATCATTGATGTTTCTGTCTCTCTCTCTCCCTCTCCTTTCCTCTCTCTGAAATCAATAAAGATATATTAAAAAAAAAACACCACCAAAAAAACGAGAACACTTCCACCTACTTTCAGAGGTGACTTCACGTGACCCAGCGATCTGTTCGCCGCCAGGTTTACCCACACAGGCACGTGCTGTGCAGAAAGCGGCTGGGACAGAACACCTCCAGCCAACCAGGCCGGACCTGCAACTAACCTGACCCAACGTCGGCTCAAAGACAGTGTGTCCCGGACGCCCCGCCGCTCACGGGAGCCCCGGCCCCGCGGACGCCCCGCCCGGAGACGTACTTTTTGGAGGCGTCGTGTTCGCCATAAAGCCAGCCGTCCTTCTCCTCGGCGACGAGCAGCGTGATGACGTCGCCCTGTGCGAAGCTGAGCAGCGTGGGGTTGGCGCCGGCCGTGTGGGGGAAGATGGTCTTCACCTTCTGCTTCTTCATCATGTTCAGTCCCGTGGCCACAGACACCGACCGCTGCAGGCTGGGGTCATCTGCAGTCGCTGCGGGAGGTGACACGGCGGTGACGGCTTTTCCCGGAACGGGTCAGGCCGCGTCCGGCACAGCCCGGCCGGGGCTCTCCCAGGGCACCCCCCTCGCAGGCCGAGGGGAGCGG